ACAAACACCCAATGATAAATGTAAATGAATTGTATACCTAAAATGTACCAATAAAATGTACCAATAAAATTAATAAGAAAAAAATACAGAAAGGGTAAGACTCAAAAAAGTATTCTAAATCAAGGATGGTCAATTTTAGAATTTACATGACAAGGTCAATGGCAGAAAATGAGTAGGATTCCTTGCAATCATTGGTTCATGGTCAAGAAATTAAGGAACAATAAAAACTGCTTATAAAAATGTCTCTCACCGCACTTAAGTTTTCCCTTCCTTCTCTCTTGCTCACTTCATCCTCCTTCTCATTCTTATTTATGTTTTATAGCAGCCATCTCTGTGGAGATTCCAAAACCTTCCTTAAGAGACTGGGATTCACCAACCATTGTACAGTAATGCACTTCTAGCATTTCACATGTGGGATAAACTATGTCTGACCTTCATTTTAACTGGATCTTACGTTTTTCCTCAGAAATGCTAGATGTAATTCATATGATCAGCAGTATATTAGTACATCTACAATATAGGCCATATAAAGGAGTTAACATATGGTTTCCACCAATCACCTATAAAAATGAAGACAAAATGCAGTAGAAATTCATTTCTGAACAGAGGAGTGGAAAAGAGAAGAGTATGACACAGTGCAAAAATGTATAGACATGGAGAGACTTTGCCCATATTAGAAAATTGCACCTACTTTTAAATTCTGTTTTAAATCAACTCATACAGAATAAAATTTAGTTAAATTAAATAAATTATGCCAAACCAAGCTGCAATAAAGAAGTGACAAATGTATAACTATAAAGCCACCAGTATACTCTATTTAACAATAAAATTTATTGTGTGCTACAGTGATTGTTTCCGAAAAGTAAAGAATTTATTACATGGATTTTAATTTACATACTTTTATACATATTAGTATATCTAATTTACATATGCCTATATTATAATAAATGCAAGCACACATACTTTTAAAATAATATAATCTTCTGTTGAGTAGTGAATTCTTTAGAAGCGAATAGTTCAATTACAAGCTTCATTTTTTTCCCCATCCCAATAGGCAGCTTATTTCACAAGCAACAACAACTAAAGAATCCCTCTTTGTTTTCTATATTGCCTTTTCCTTTCTTAACTGACTACACACATATTTAATTCATCTACCCTTATAAGAGTTTAGAATACATGTCTTAAGTACCCTGCTTAAGTTTTTAAAATGTTCTGGGTCTTGTTATTTGTGTGTCTATATAAATAAATCTTTAAAACTGAGAGAAGGAGTCATTTTATTGACCCCATAGATTAGTATTTCCTGATTAACAAAATGCATCTCTTTCCAAGTACATAGCTGTATCCATGGCCAACGGCAGACTTTTTACAAAGATGATATCTGAGAGATCAACGTATTTTGGAAAATAAATATGCAATTAGTTGACCTATTAAGAAAAGCCAACTTTTTTCATTTGAGAGAGAAAAAAGCAAGAACAAATAACCAATTTGCTTTGGAAATAAATCTGTCATACTAATATTTAAGAATGTTTGCATGTTTATATTAATACTTTTATCAAAAATATCAACACAGATATGCTTTTTATTTTCCCCCAGTAAACTATTTTGTCTTAATCTGAACATATATTAATGTTATTATTATCTTTTGCCAATGATTTTTTTTTTTTGGTACTGGGGATCGAACTCAGGACCTTGCACTTGTTAGGCAGGTGCCAGAACCACTGAGCTAAATCCCTGGCCCATGAATGAAATGTTTTGTTTTTTAGCTTTAGGAATCACTAAACTCTGTTCTTTACTATGCTAATGAAATCAAAATTTGGACAAAAGGAAAACAATCATTTGGACAAAAGGAAAGCAGACCTAATAATTCATGTCCCAGAGACCAGGGATGATGTGGGCATTAATGACAGCTTATTTTAACATGAGTGTTCCCGATGGAGTTAGTATGTACAAGGAGGGATCAAAATATACAGCAAATGTTTAAGTAAAAATTTACTACACTAAAAGACAAATCGCTATGAATTTTGGGCAAAATACTCCATCTTGCTTTGAACACATTTCCCATCATTTCTGCCACTTTCTGAAGCAGTTCTAGACCGTTCTTCCTAGATGCGATAAAAATTCAGTGAATGCTGCTGCTAAGGGCCATCTAATGGATAGGCAGTCTCCTAAAAACATTGCAGTATATCCTCACTGAAACTGGCACAGTACAACTTCTGGCTCTTCCCCAAAGTCAAAATGACCATGCAAAGTAAATATTTTCAATTAATTGAAGACAGCAAGGCAGCCTTGACTGTGGAACTAAAGACATTTAAAAAAGAGGACTTCCAGAACTGTTTCAGAAAGTAGCAAGAATGAGGGGATGAATGTGCTCAAAGTGAAGGCAAGTATTTTGTGGGCAATGTGTCTTTTATTGTAATACATTTCAAAAATTTAAATGTTCACTCTATTTTTCTATCATACTGCTTCTCTCTCTCTCTAGGTAGAAGGGAAGCCCAGTAGTCTCAGATGTGATAAAAAACACTTCTAATAAGGAAGATGTAATATGTATTTTCTTTTTTTTTATTAAATTCTTTTATTGGTACATTGTAGGTATACAACACAATTACATTTCTCATTGGGAATTGTACCTTTACATGATGCATCTTGGTTCTTATTTTTTCCCCATTCCTAGCCCTCCCTTCACACCCTCGACCCTTCCCTATTTACAAAGACTTTATTTCCATTTTTTCCATTTCGCATCATTTTTCCTTTCCCTTCTTTCCTTTCCCCTGCCCCTCCCACTACCCCTACCCCTTTGGACCTTTTCTTCCTATTTTACATTTTCGATTATTCATTCTAATCATTGGTACATTTTAGGTATACAATATAATGTGAAATAGGAAGAAAAGGGACAAAGGGGAAGGAAGTGGGAGGGCTAGAGGAAAGGATAGAAGGGAATGGGATTAATATGAGAAAGTGAAAAAATAGGAACAAAATCTTTGTAAATAGGGAGGAATGGAGGGGTTGAAGGGAGGGCTGGGCAAGGGTGAAAATAAGAACCAAGAGAGACTATGTAAAGGTGCAAATTTCCAATGATGAATGTCATTATATTGTATACCTAAAATATGTATTTTCTTAATAGGCCCCTAAGAAGGTATAGGCCTGGATTTTTATTATAAAAAGAATTTTTCCTACATATTTTATGAATTATTTATTAGATAAGTTATTTAGTATTGCTTAAATTATTTAAAATTTACCATGTATTTCCTTCTTCCAATTTGAAAACAGATTGTAATGAAAAGGAAAAAATATTTTGATGAAGTGACTAGGGCTTGAAATTTCCAGGCCATAGAAGGAGAAAGGTGCATTCATGACACTTGTGCCTGCTCATTTGCACACGAGTGTGTGAAAATGGTAGTCCAGTTCTACGACAGAGAATTGGATTGATCCAAAGGGTAATGAGCAGTTACGTTGGGGGGACTTCTCTCTACAAGTTCATGCAGAAGTGATATTTTTATTCACAAAAATTCAAAAGTGGTTAAATTAAAAACAATTCTGGTGATAATTACTGAACTTTTTCACAGATAGATAACTAGCACTTTGGAAAAATATTGAAGCATGCTATTATCTAGAGTTACCCATAGAGATGAGTTGGGTCAGTTAAGCCTGCGGGTCCAGACTTGAAGGCCCTACACAATTCCTCCTGTGTCAGGTTGAGACTAGTAGTATTTCTATCTAAGATTATAAAGTATTTTTAATACTACACAAACATTCCTGT